TTCGCAAATATATATAATTCTATATGTAGAATTAGGTACTTTCTAAAAGTTTGAAAATTTTTATTTTTATCTGTTTTAAGTATATTATATTAGTTTATATTTAGTGAGTTATTGTTTTTTAATTACTGCTTACATTTAACAGTAAAAATAAGCATAAAAAATGTTTATATTTAATATATTATGTGTGTGTTTATGTATACAATATCGTATATATTTTACTCAATTTAGCGTATATTTTGATTAATATTTTAATAAATTTGATCGATTAACTAAATATTAACTTTTTTTTATAAAGTATACGTTGCAGAGTATCCAATTCTATTACCTACTTTGTTGGGGATCATTAATCATTCCATTTTTGGGTTAACACAAAAACTATCATATACAGTTTGAAAAAATAACTCCTTAAAAAAAAATATCGTAAATTATAACAGAATAGATATTGTAAATATTTTATAATGAGAGTTATTTATCTTATCCTTTAAAAAAAATTTAAATTAGATGATTAATATGTGGAAAAATGTATAGAAGGATTAAAAATAAATCAATTTATCAATACACTCTGTTTGCACAACAAACCTAATAAGTATTAACATATTTCAATATTGTAGCGTACATAACATACTTATGTAGGTGTCCCATTGTGTTTGCGATTTTATGAGTGATGAGAAATAAATATTTCTACACTATATGCTTAGCATTATATTCCACCAATGAGCAAATATTCAAATTTATTTTATAAAATATGAAAAGTTTATTTCAACTAGATTATATATTTTAATATCTAATATATAAAATTCTCGTGTCACAGTTTTCGTTGCCATACTCCTCCGAAATGGCTTGACAGATTTTGATGAAATTTTTTGTGCATATTCAGTAGGTATGAGAATCTGCTAACATCTATTTTTCATACCCCTAAGTGATAAGGGTTGTCCAGAAAAAAATAAAAGAAGTGCTCAAACAGGGATTTTGATAATTTACGGTAGAAATAATTGTTTATAAATGGTTGCTAAGGTATTGGTTATATATATAAAAAAAAATATATATATTATCTTGAAATTTCCGATGGAATGTTTTGTATATAAATGGTTGCCATGGTGAATAGTGATATGTAAAACATATTATTCATATAGAGTTGGTAAATTTAACGGAAAATGATGTGCACGGGATCAGATATTTTTATATATATAGATATATTAGACATCTGTGCAGAAGATATGTTAATTTAAAAAGGGAGAGGACCAACCCCGGGATGAGGTGCTCAAACAGGGATTTTGAGATTTCCAATGGACTTTTTTGTTTATAAAGGGTTGCAATGGGTTTTGAAGCTATTATAATATTAATTATTGGTTTTCGGTCAACGAAGTGTATGGGATCATTTGGTACAGAGATAGGTTAGACCACTGGGCAGAATATAGGCTAATTTAAAAAGGGAGAGGACCAACCCCGGGATCAGGTGCTCAAACAAAGATTTTGAGATTTCCGATGGAAATTTTTGTTTATAAATGGTTGCAGTGGGTTTCAAAGCTATAATTATAATAATTATTGGTTACCATTGGTTTAAAACTGTTGTTATGGTAACGGTTATATTATAAAAAAAAACATATATTATTCATATAGAGTTGGCATTTTTAATGGGCAACGAAGTGCACGGGATCAGCTATTTATATATATATATATATATATGTTACAATATATAAATACAGCACGCGATTGTGTTGACTATTACATATTTACATGATAACGCACTATTTTAAATAGTATCCATTATATTTAATAAAATATAAAAACTATTCATATAAAACAACACATGAGTAAAATAAAAAAAAATTATGTTTCACTTGAATTCCCAAATTCGATGTCTGGTGATTAATATGATATTTTACACATAAAAATCATGACATTTTTTTACTTAATTAATATTAATTAGATGTATTTTTAATTTGTATATATTTTTAATATAATATATAAATATATATATATATATATATTTGCGAAAAAGGTAGGTAAAGAAATCAAAATACTTTAAGAGAACTCATTTGACCTACTGTCAATTATTTTTATTCTGCTGGCGATATTATAATATTATTAGGTAGGCTCGAGTTATGATGAACATTAATCTAAATATGCGATCTTCAGTTATAAACATTTTATATATTTTTAACTACAAAATAATTTGCAAATTTTTCTAATGCTAATCATTTTCTCAATATTTAGATTTTTAGTTCGTTTTTTTTATATACCTACTTGAAATTGCTGTACTAGATGAACGCACTCGTCCACATGCGTTTCTTGAGTAATTTTTTATTAGTTTTAGTTAGGAAAATGATTTTTCTGCTTCAGTGATTGCTGTCATTATATAAGAAAAATAATGAAAGCTTTTAAAACGTCACTTGGGTATATATCATTCGAAAATCATTTCGACGGGTCGGCGAAGTACCTACCTAGCTTACGATAAAACAATGTGGTGTTCATACAACAACAATAACAAAAACTATAGTTATTATTATTATTATTTTAAATTCTGAGCCGAGCGATGAATGGATTGATTTTTTATAATAATGTGTGCGTGTTTTCTTAAATTCATTTTTCTTCTTTTATCGCATTTTGGGGCAGAAAAAATGTCACCACACACAATAAACTTATACTCTCACTTGGCCAATACCTTCAATGTATTTCATTGATATGAATTGGTTCGTAACAAAGAAATTCTTGTTTAATATCTTTTGTGAGTTCCACGTGAACACGATCATGTTCAATGGAGCCATTATTCTGTTGAAATAAATAAAATCGTACTCTTTAATACGAAAAATAAGGAACAACATTTTACTGTTTAGAGAAGAAATAATTTTATTAAATAATCTCATGAAAACGAATGCATATAGTGCTTTACAATTTTGAATGCCGAAAAATGAAAATATTATGTGTTACAAAAAAAGTAGCAAAAAACAAGTAATAATAATTTAAATACACAAAAAAAAGGCATCGGACAAGACGACGTGATGTGGGGGGGGGGGGGGTACGTGATGGCGAGTTGGTGGTGCTGATGATGTTGGTAACTGGTATATGGCCACTGGTCACCTTTACAACGTTCTCACGGGCAGTAGCGTACGCAGGATTTTAGTTCGGTTAGGGTTTCACCTGAGTAAATAATTTACATTATTTTTTTCTAAATAGTTTTTATGTAATTGGTTATAACAAATTATAATTAGTCTCAAATGTAGTCTACTTTAAGAACACTCGAGTGTTCAATCTTGACACCTATGGTCATCTATAGAGCCTCTTCGGGTCGTAGTATGTGGTAATTATCGATGGACGGTGATACATGATGATACACCATACAACGGTTATGACAGATGTTTAGCAATGCCCTAAATCAGCCAAAAAACTGAAACTATGATTATCGACGTCTTTGTCATATTTAACAATTTATATTATATCTATTAAAAATGACCAACAATTGATCGACTTTGTGTATTTAAATGGTTTTATTTTTTTGTCAACGGAAGAAATTTCAGGGGGGTCAGAACCCCAGAACCCTACCCATGCGTACGCCACTGCTCACGGGCTGTCCTGCGGGGCGGACGAGAGTCGCGGGCGAGTTTGCTCGAAACCGCTAAGACGACCATGGCAGCGGACGAAGCCCGGCCACGACGGCTGCGAGAGCGACGGCGGTTGGCGACGAGAGGCTAGTGCGCTATGTCGTGCGCTGCTTGACGGTACCAAGGGCGCACCCAAGGCGGTGGCTAACGGGCTTTAGCCCCCCCCCCAAATGGATAAAAATTTTGATAATTTTATTAGGTTTATTGACAAATTGACATTTTACTTTAAATTGTTATAAAAAAAAATTATCAACTATCGAAATTGAAACATTAGGTATAACATAGTATTATATTATATCATTGATTTTATAATTTTATTAAATTTATTCCTGTCATTCCGGGCCCCGGGAGAGACCTCTGTTGTCTATTATTATAGACTACGGCGACACTTAAAACCGGGACAAAAATAAAAAAAATTTGTTAGTAAAAGATTGTAAAAAAGCTTAAAGATTTCTGTACATATTTCAAAATAAATACTACCTATTAATATTAAAATTATGTGAATTTAGCCCTCCCCAAAAAAAATCCTGGGTGCGCCCCTGGACGGTACTGCGGGTGCTAAAGACGACTGCTTGCGCCGGCAACGACGGTGACCTGCAAAGCTCGGAGAGGCGAGCTGGCGACGCGGACTACAATCTCGGCGCAGCTGCGGAATCGGCGACTCGGGATCGGACCACTGGGCGAAAAGGGGAGAGAATCTGCGGACAGCATAGCGACGCGCCGCTGTCCTGATAGTCTCCGTGATTTTCGCCGTCTGCCGCAGCCGATGTTTAATTTTCGGGTATCGGGCTACGGCCCGACGTCAGCATGGACTTCGGCGCCACTCATACCTACTCATACCTATATAAGATAAAAATATCAAATTAAACACAACTTTATAAAAACTATAGGTATTCTGACACAGATTTCACTATAATAGAGATCGTGTAGACTGTAGAGTAGGTATACAAACTGTTTTTAAGAATGAATAATATTGAACAAAATTTAATTGACTTACAAAATATTAGGTATAATGTACATAATACCTATACATTCATAATTTTTCTTTATATACCCACATTTGAAGTTCACATTTGGATGAAATTACATATTTAAACGAAAATAACTATTTTAGTTATTTTGTTGTTAATTCAAGTAGTAATTACAGTGGTATTTAATAAACGATAAAAAAAATATTTATCTATTGATTTTAAATGATAAACTATTATTTCTATCAAACCATCATGAATTATAAATATATATATTTTTTAATTCTATAGTAACCATACAAATATGATAGATACCAGATGATCAATAAATCACTTTTCTTGTCTATTTACTGATTAATATTCTTAAGTACCTATAATTTATTTTTATTCTTATACCAATAAATATTTGTAAGTAGGTATAAATCTTAAAATGGAAAATGAAGAATATGAAGCAGTAACATTTCACAATGTCCCAGTAAAAAATTTAATTGACTCAAGAAAATATTGTAATCGAAGAAAAATATTCGAAAATAGAGATAATTTTATATTTGATGGTAAGGCATGAAACAAAACTATGTTGCTCGTTAGGTATATTTCTATCGAATTTGTTTAATAAAATCCAACTAGTTTTTAATGCACTTTTGAATATTTAGTTATATTTTTTTTGCATGTTATTGTTCATAACAGAGGTCTCCAAACGATTTTATTCAAAAGTCATATAAAAAAATTAAAACTTACTGAGGTATACCACCTACTGAGTGACTGAGTACTGACGAAATAAAATGTAATTAACGAATGATTTACAATTATAACTTATATGTTATAACACATCCTAAAGACCTATAAAAGTTATTACCTAGTTATTATAAAACTAACTTCTACCTTTTAAAATAGTTGGAAGCTTCATTTGAATGTTATTTCAGTAAATATTTTATAGTTCAGGGCGAAGCACCTCGAAACAATATTGAAGCAGAACGTGAAAAAGATGAAACTGATGATTCAGACGGAAACTTAGTTGTATTAGAAAAAGAAGAGAGAAAAGTACTTAGAAAATGTAATATATGGAGACGCCAAAATATCAATGCGTAAAATGCATATTATATAATAATAATATTAAAAAAAAAATCACTACAACAAAACTTTAAATATTTTAAACTAGTATCAAAAATGCGGTGGCTAAGCGAGAATTTCAACAAAAAATGATAATACAACCACCTGTTGTCGAGAAAATTGAAAACAGTGAATTTGAACTAGGCAATCTTATTGAAGAATTGAATAACTTTATAGAGTGTAAATGTTTAATTTTCCATTCAAATGAATATGAACGTGAATTGATCGACAAAAATGTCAATCAAGATAGATTGTCTGAAGTTAAAAACACATTAATTGAAATAAATAAAAAATGCATGGACATTGATGATAAATTTAAAATAACCAGTAATAAAGAAGATATACTGGTGATTCATGAAGATATTGTTTCACTAAAAAGTAAATTTTAATTAATGTAGTCTAGCAAAGTAGAGATTACTATACCTAAGTAAGTACCTAAATTGTTTTTTTTTTTTTTATTAGAAGAAAGTTTAGAACTTCTTAAGCAAAAAGACAAAATTATTGATAAACTGTTAGAAGGAATAGAAGAATTGTTAACTAAATCGTTTAATGAAACAACTTCTAATACAAATGATCTGGATAAATTGAATGAAATTGCAAACAATAAATTGCACATCCTTAAAGAAGAGCATAAAAAGTATTATTTAGCTATTACTGTAAGTAAACATTAAATAATAATAGTTACACACTTACACATGATATATTATCATATCCATACACATATGATATAAATAGACAATGATAGTCATTATTTATACCGAATCGTATACAATTTAAAGAAATTGATTGAAGATACAAAAAATGAAAAAAATAACAATGATTCTGCTAAATGGAGACTTTTGATGAACAAGATCATTAATAAAATTTCAAGTGCATCATTAAAACAGTTCGTATTAATTAAAAATAATAACCTTGAGTTATTAAAGGAATTTAAGACCAATGAAGAGAACGCAAAAATCTTTAGATTAGAAACAGCTGAGAATGATGTTGTAAGTAATAAATACAAAAATATTTCAAACTATATATAATAAAATAATTATATACATAATACATATAGATATATTTTATTAATTCACTATTAATACACTGTAGTACTGTACATTATATATTAGTATAGGTATAGGTGGTATCCTATAAAGGGGTTTTAGTTTAAACAATTGAGTCACTTATACCTTGTAAGTTGAAGGAAGGGCCCAATTCTAACTATCTCAATTTTTTCAGGTGACAAACAAACATGTTATAAGTAGAACTAATTTTTACATAAATACTTTTGTGCTAGACTTAAGAATTAGATAATATATAACAGTGATTGTCTTTGGGAGGTCTTTGGTAAGTGCAGGGGGGATAGAGTACCCCAACTAAATGTTTAGAAATTCTAGAGTATTCATACGTTTTTCAAATTTATTAGGACACTTGAAGACTTTGTTTATTTTATGTTTTTTTACAAAAGAACAATGTTAATATTTTTTTATAAAATAATATAGTATTTTAGTTCATATGGTATTAAACAAATATAAATATCAACCGGCCGATCCAAAATATATTTTGCTGGCGTACACAAAACCATTCCACTGCAGTCCACACGATTTATTGGTACCCATTTCCACATTACGTCAAATATGTGGGAAAGGTGTACTTATGACTGTTTACACTGTTAAATGTATTTTGTTAATTCCATTTAACGACATCTTCTGCCTCCCTCTGTCTTTACATTTTTTTGTTATACCATATTATACTCTGTCCAACGAGAGAGCACAACAGCTGGTAAGTGGCACTACATGGGCCTGGTGGTGTTAGATGCGCGGACTATAACGAGTTTTGGTCGCCGCCTAGTTGAGCTCTCTCGTTGGACAGAGTTTAGAATTCAGAGCAGATTATAGACAAGCAATATTATTATTTAAGTATCACATTTTATTATAAATATATATTGCGGTTATGATTGAAGGTTTAAAAGTAAGAAGTATACCTATGGTAAATATTAAGTTATGAAACGTTTGTTTGTTCGCCCCCTACCGTTATTTTCAGTATTTTAATTAAGTATGAGTAAGGACGCCAACTTTGAATGTGTAATCAGAGTACCTACGTCTATTATTTATTTTTCAAGTCAAGCACTAATTATATAGTATCAATGTACAATATACGTACCGTTACCTATATTACATTCATGTATGATGTGTGAGTTGCGTATTATAGGTACTTGATCTCAATTTGGAATTTGTTAAAATCAGATGTGCAACAAATATAAAAAAACTTGAATATAATTGTTATGTTTTAAAAACAAAAATAGATGATAATCATTTTAGAATAGTAAATCAAAAAAAAAGAATTAGTTTGTAAGTATTTATATGAGAGTAAGATGTAAGATGTACCTACCTATTATTACCAACACTACGTTTATTAATAATACAACAAACCCTTAATAGTTTACAAGAAAAAGTGAATACACTGAGAGAGAAATGTAATAAAATCGAATCTGACGTTACAACCCAAAAATCTACAGTTGAAAAACAAATTATAGATATAAACAAAAAAATAGATCAGCAAGAAAAAAGAGCTGATTGTATTGCAAAGAAAGATAATGACGAATACTTACAATTGTGGGACATTCAACTGACCGAAATCAAAAATAACATAGATAGTGTAAATTTTATAATTTTTCTTTAAAATTGGTTTTAACTTTTAAGTAATTTTTTTTTATTTCAGGTTCGTCAAACCGATAATTTTATACGCGAGTATTTCGGTTTTAGTGACAAGACAAATTTCTGTGATAAACTCACTATTGATGACGATGATACAACGGGGCCACTTTTGAAACACATCAATAATCTAATATCATATGAGCCTGTACACAACAGTTTAAACACAAATTATTATGAACATATCAGAGACAAAGCTCTTAATAATCTGTTATTAGATTTCATTGTTAGGAACTCAAGTTTTGTGTTTGACCATAACTTAAATGGAATTCTTAACACAAATTCAATGAGAAATTTATCATACGCTTATAATGCTTTAAGCTGTTTAAAACTAAATAAAAAAGAATCTTGGGATCTCATAAAATCTAAATTTAAGCCATTTGTGAATTGTATTGTTTGTAATTCTCAAATAAATTGGGAATCGGGTGAAATTATCGGAACGTCAAGCAGTGAACAAAAAATATGTAATAATAATACAATATCAGCAGATAATTGGTAGGAACCTATATAGATTTCAAATTTATCATTAACCAAGCCACTCAAAAGCTTGTAATAATTAATACACTGTTTTGTTGGTAGCATCAACGAAGAGAAATCGAGCAAATATTTATACTTTGAGAAATTATGTAAAAATATAACTCAGCATAACAAAAATATTGACAAACTTAAAAAATCAGATCAATGTATGAATGACACGTAAGTATTTTAAATTTTAATACAAAACGTTATTCCGAATAAAGAAAATCGTTCTTTGAGAGATAATACCACTAATAAATACAATAAATTATCCATATCAAACAAATTTTTAGTTCCTAAGAGACATTTTCTATAGTTAGCCTATATGATATTGCAAAATGTTTAATACCTATTGATTAAACCTATCCACTTTTTACTTATCATAAAGGTACTTACAGATTTGCTTTATTTTAGAATACCCATTGGCTATTACCGTTAAAGTAAATTAACTAATAACAAATGCTGAAACACTAAAGTAAAAATTACATTAATTATTTGTGGTTTACAGTGCATCTTCGAACAATATTACTTTTGAAAATATTGATGACGAACAAAATAATAAATATTCCACAATTTTAGTTAAAGGTATGTACTTACTTGGTATAGCTTGAGGATTAAATTATACTAAAATAAAAAATCAGTTAAAATATTAATAATAATTGATGAATTGTGTTTTAATTAATATACCTAACTCATATATCCATACTCATCTCGTAATTTGGTTAATATCATTGTATATTAATGATTATTCGTATATATCAATGTGTTTTAAATAAAAAATGTAGCTTTTAATAAAATAGGCTCTGTATGGTAAAAAAAATATATCTGAATGAAAATATTTAGATGTGAATTAAACTAAATTGTCATTTTAGATTTAAAAAGTAGAATATATTTCTATGATTTTATCCATTAAATGCATTTAGAAAATACATCACTTAACAATACTCGATGTGGAAATTTGAATCATAAATTATCCATTGACAACAAGCATTTCATGCATATAATGAAAGAGATAATAAAAGAATCGCAATCAACACGTGTCTCAAAACCAATGTCATTATCCCAAAGATTAAAAAAAGAATATAATTTTGTACAGTGGATAATTAGTGAAAATGATTTACAAGAATATTGGTCTCAACTCATCAAATATATTCCAAGTGGTGTTGATTCGTGGAAAATGTACGACGAGGAACTTAGACATTATTATAGAATTTTAGTTGGTAAATCAATATTATATTATATTAATATTAATATTATATAGATGTTTAAAATATTATAAAATATTTCATCACTTTAATCATGTTATATAGTGAGGAAGAAAAAAATGCTAAAGGCAAAAATATTACAAGCTGAAAATATGAAGTTGAAAAAAGTGCTTCACGAATTAGAGCTTAGAAGATGATTATAATACTATGAAAATAATATATAACTATATTCAACAATGTATCTAATCTAATATCTTATGTAATAAATGTTCTATCGCCTCAACGCAAATATATGTATTATTTAATTATTATTAAATATAGGTCGTTGTAAGAAACCAAAGCTAATACCTACTTACTGTCGGCTGTCACGAACATTGTATCTCTATATAGTATATACTATACTAAATCGTGCACACCTGGCGAAAAATTGTACATACTTTAAATTTTTTAGTTATATAATAATATTATTAAAAAATTTAATTGCTGGTAAAATGTACAACAAAATAAGTAATCACTTTGTTGTACAGTAGGTATCAAATTACAAACTATAGATCCACTTTGATGCCAGAAAATAAAAAATTTATAATTTATTTTAAAAATAAAAACACATAATTATTATCATGGTAAGGTCGATGGATATTCATCGCTCTACTGAGAGCCTAAAATATTTATTTTGAGGGAGGTTTCTGGATTTCTAGTATAGCCATACTTTGTGCTTTGCAGGTGGGTCAAAACAAGACATTTCTCGTTCCTCTTTTTAAATAATCAAAAAAAACAAATACGAACATCTGTTAAAATTGTAGTAATAAATTATATTATTAAAATAAATGTTTGGTAACCTTGGTTATTAAAAATTAAGACAGTACTACAGTCACTGCATACTCAATGAGAGTTTCACTCGAGATCTACAACTTTACATCAAAGTTTTTTTTTATGTAAAGTGCAAACTATTAAACCGGGGAAGTCACCCTGCTGTACAGCCTAAAGTGTCTAAATGGGTCTCTATAACGGTCAGGTAGCTATACTTAAGGCATAATATTTATATTTAATTCTTATATAGGTACCTATACTTCATACTTTTTTCGTAAAACTGAGTAATTTATAAAATGTGCATTGCCTTTAGTATTTTTAATTGGCCCACTCCCACGGTTTATATGGTACTTATTTACCATTAATTAAAAATAATAAGATTTTAAATAAAATATACAATATTGTAGAACATTTTTTCGATATTTTGATCTTTACTTTTATACTGTGCTTAATAAGTGTTGATATTTATGGTTACTTTTGTCTGAAGTAAAATATTATGTTTATACTTTATATACAACTTTTCAACAACTTTCTATTTCATCTTTAAAACAATCGATTCTGGTTTTTTAACTTAGTTGATTAAATATATAATATATATCTAAATATTATATTTATCCGTTTAGTATATAATATTAGATATGATATAATATGTAACATATGTTTTGAGATAGCTTTTACACTAAACATATAATGAGAGTAATCATCGCCCACTCAGAATGTATAATCACACGACATTTATCAATATGTTTATTTTCAGCCTTTCAAATTAGTTGTAAATAGTAATGTAGAGAATTTAGTTTTATAATATTTTCGATTGTTCAAAAAATGTATTATCTACAAACTAAATAATATAATGTTCTATACCTGTTCAATGTATTCCTTGTGATTTGTGTACTACATAAACATAAAAAATTACGATTTGTATATAGTTGACGAAAAATTGATTTTGTGACAGTTTTTGTTTTAACGCATTCTGTTTTCGTGCCAAAACATATATTTATATAAATTATTTAAATATAGAATGGTTTCCAACACATGTATTAATGAAATTATTCTGAAGAAAATGAAGGTTTTTGTCAATTTAGTTATTTGTATATTGTATTCATAAAATATATACTTTAAATCAAAAGTATCTAAGTATTGTAATCATTTTACAATCAATAAAAACGCGTATTAGCAATAGTAATGTTAATGTTTAAAACACATATATAATAATTACAATATTTGTAATTGCCAAAAATATTACAACTGAGACTTATGTCTATAAATTCTATACTAGTTAAACTATATAAAAAAAAAATTAATTTTTGTATTACCTATTATTGTAGGTACCTAATGCCTAGTACAATTTGTTATATTATTTGTACCTCTTCGTAAGTAGATAAACTACATAGTACATAATATTATACCATTATATTAAGTTTATTCTTATGGATTTTCACTATCGTTGAGTGTTTCCACCAAAATATATTGAACGAGACTACTGTAAAACTAAACCCCGTAAATGGTCCGAGTATCATTAGTCTCGAAGACTAAACATCAAATAAATTTAAAGATGAATATCGTGACAGATGGGAGCGAGTGTGCTTGGAAGGGTATCCAAAGGCTTTTACCAAAAAACTAACATTACGATATAATTTATTATGTTAGTGTGTGTCATTTAAGATTGTATATTGTTGTTTATATTATCGTAATTTGATGACTGATTACATTGTAAGGTTTAGTTAACTGATCGATTCCGTGGGATTTATTCCCTTCTATATATACAATTGTATGTATAAAATAAACAGATCTATTTTTTTTTTTTTAAGTCTATTGTAAAAAATAGCTGAAATGCGTTTCTATACAATTCGTTATTATTTATTATATAAATATACCAACAATTTGTTTATTTTGACAATGCGTTGCTAAGTACCAACGATGTTTTGGTATATTGTAGCTTTTGTTTAAATAGCGTACAACATACAAAAGGTTGTAGAAGTTACTATTCCGAATCTGCAGGGAAGTCATATATAAGACATTATAAGACATTATATTACTTATAGTTCCATATTGTTATATTTTTAATTCATGACACGACAAAAAAAAAACAACTTCCAAAATACACTCGACTGAAACGAAATTGAAAGAAAATCGAAAACGTTCGTTAATTATTACTCTGCGCAACAATATAATATATTGTACAAAGTACAAACACGTGTGACGTGTCGCCTTCACATGTTGAAAACGGTGTTTGTGAAATTTGATTTTTGTAAAATAACATCTAAATCATATAACGTACTTACGTCATAAAGTAATATTATATTCACGTTCGTGAGACTAAAATTACTACCTATAGAGTAGGTACATTATAACTAGAAACTTAGTTTGCACAGACGGCTGGTTTATGGGTGGGACGGTGTGGGTCGTGAAAATAAACGGCAGTGCTCTTCCTACTTACTTCTCTATAAACACTTTGTTTGTGCGACCTGATGCACTTGTCTAACATTTTTATTCAGTTGACAGTGGGCGGAAAAATAACAGAACATATTTTATTTATTTTTTATTTATACAGAGTGATTCGCCAAGCATGCTCGCACCAATTGTTTTATTAAGAGGATGTTTTCAAAGTTCCGTTCACTAATTTCAATTGTGTGGTGTTAGTTTCGATATTAGATTGAATTGTTGACCTATTTTCCAACTTTTAGGTGAGAATAATATTATCTGTGCTTCAGGGTCGGTGATTCTTTCAATATTCTAATTTTCAAGCTAAATATGGGTAAGTATATGAATTATCACAAATTAAAATTGACCCTATCTCGATTGAATATTAAAATATCGAATAAAAGCCAACGCTAAGCACACTGAACAGATAATGGTTTTACCTAACTGGTAGATTTTTACTGATATATCAGTAAATCTTTCCCAATAGTATATAGGATATTCTCAATTATTTTGAAATTTCTTGGACATTTTTTTCCATAGATTTCTACTTGCGTACCAACTAGATCCAATTTTCTACAAGTTGGAGTTTGAAGTATTTTTAAGAATGCTATTTTATATGGCTAATGAGAGACTCAAAAAACTTAATTAAACAATAAAAAAACACAACATTTTAAAACTAATGCATTCAACGTTCCACCCAGAGTCTAAAATTATAGTGATTACCATATTATTTAAATGTTTTAGATTTTCTAGTATAGATGTAAGGGATTATTGTGCGTATCCAATTATTAATGTATTTAAAACTGTCTGCCTTAAAATTGTTGGGCGTGATTGTTAAGATCAAAAATAAAAATTGAACAGAATAAACTATAAATAAAATTGTAGTTTAATTAAGGTATATCTGTGAAGTCTGTTCCACATGTCTATTTAAATTGGTTAACAAACTGGTTCTGCAATGCGGATGTACCCGTATAAAGAATTAAGGGGTCTAGAAATCCAATTTATACTCAATTAGCCTATCTTTTTACTCTCGGGATTTTAATTTTAATTAGATATAAGTAATTTTTAGTAAATTACTTGCCTGATAAACTTGCATTATTATAATATAATATACTATGTTGGTATATCTATGTTTTGCAGTGTATTAAATGTGTTTTGCACTTTTGCGGTGTATTAAATGAACCGATAAAATTTCACCGAGTGATGTTAAACAATTCATAAAAAAGTAATATAGAAATTACTTAAGTAAAAATAATTCATTTAAGTTGCAGTTAAATATGTTAACTAAAAATTATAATTCGTATTATATAAATAAATAAAAAGTAAACCTACTTACGAGGAATTTATGTCTTGTGAGATATCTATAAAAAATGTACAACTGATTATCGTTCAGTCAGCTCTCACCTATGTATTACTCTGAACATGGCCATAAAGTTAGTGAAATATGCATTTGCTTAACTAAAGGTTAATATGTTATAAATTGTAATGTGTAGTACCATATCCAACTGCAGAGTATTTGTTGTGTAAATAAAACCTCATTTTTTTTAGGTATAATATAATGTTTATACTTTGGAAGTTTTTTATGTAGAATACAATGATCTAGTCATATGATCATTCTAAGTTTCCCGATACTTGTAATCTTTTGGTACTTAGGTGAATAACCAAATTATGAGATTTAATCAATTTTATTACACTGTACAGCTATAGTATAGGTATACCTACAGTTATTTGTAAGATTTAGTATAAAATATAAGTATATCATAACTTTTTCTTAAACTTTAATATAAGTTATTAGGTTATTTAATATATTTTCTATACGTCCTTGTTCAGAAACCTTAGACTATGATGTATAGTATTTTTATAATATTTATCTCTCTATATTCTAGTTAAACTATTCATAGTCAATTTGAAATTAATGAATTTGCTGAAGAGATCTTTGTATGCTTTCCAACTCATCCGCCTT